CGTTCGTTCATCTTACGCTCATTCTCGCATTAAATGTTTTTTGTTTCTCAGTCTCTAAACGGAGCGCGATGAAGAAGGTTGGTCTGCGCTTCGGTTGATCTTTGTATGTATGCGTGTCACACATTCACATACACGGGTGTATGTGTGCGTGCGAATTTCGTTTCGAAGCCAGCGCACAAAATTTGGATTTTTCTTACTTTTCAGGCTTGCTACCCTAACAAAATTCGGGTATTCGTATTTGATGAAATGACGAAAGAAATTATATTATTTTTTATATTATATTTATACCCTTGCAGAGGGTATTATAATTTTGTCCAAAAGTGTGCAACGCAGTGAAGGAGACATCTCCGACCCTATAAAGTATATATATTCTTGATCAGGATCACCTCCTGAGTTGATATGAGCATGTCCGTCTGTCCGTCTGTCCGTCTGTCTGTTTCTACGCAAACTAGTCTCTCAGTTTTAAAGCTATCGACTTGAAACTTTGCACACACCCTTCTTTCCTTTGCACGCAGTATATAAGTCGGAACGGCCCGGATCGGCCGACTATATCCTATAGCTGCCATATAACTGATTGATCGGAAATGGTATAACTTTGGTGTTTTTAGAGTTAGAGAGTTCAAATTTGATACGAGAGCTATTTTTGGCATATGATAATAATAAATATAATAATAAATATAATAATAAATAATATGACATGCCAAATTTCATAAGGATCGGCCGACTATATCCTATAGCTGCCATATAACTGAACGATCGGAAATGACCCAACTTTCGTGTTTTTGATGATAGAAAGCTGGCACTTGGTACACATTCTATTTTTGGTCAGTTAATCCGACCTACAAAATTTCATTAGGATCGGTTGACTATATCTTATAGCTGACATATAACTGAACGATCGGAAATGGTATTTGGTAGAAATATTAAATTTCGTATTTTTGAAGATAGAAGCTTGGGACTTTTTTTTAGATTTTTATACCCTTGCAGAGGGTATTATAATTTTGGTCAAAAGTGTGCAACGCAGTGAAGGAGACATCTCCGACCCTATAAAGTATATATATTCTTGATCAGGATCACCTCCTGAGTTGATATGAGCATGTCCGTCTGTCCGTCTGTCCGTCTGTCTGTCTGTCCGTTTCTACGCGAACTAGTCTCTCAGTTTTGAAGCTATCGTCTTGAAACTTTGCGCACACCCTTCTTTCCTTTGCACGCAGTATATAAGTCGGAACGGCCCGGATCGGCCGACTATATCCTATAGCTGCCATATAACTGATTGATCGGAAATGGTATAACTTTGGTGTTTTTAGAGTTAGAGAGTTCAAATTTGACATGAGAGCTATTTTTGGCAAAAAATTACGACATGCCAAATTTTATAAGGATCGGCCGACTATATCTTATAGCTGCCATATAACTGAACGATCGGAAATGACCCAACTTTTGTGTTTTTGAAGATAGAAAGCTGAAATTTAATACACATTCTATTTTTGGTCAGTTGATCCAACCTTCCAAATTTCATTAGGATCGGCCGACTATATCTTATAGCTGCCATATAACTGAACGATCGGAAATGACCCAACTTTTGTGTTTTTGAAGATAGAAAGCTGGAATTTAATACAGATTCTATTTTTGGTCAGTTGATCCAACCTTCCAAATTTCATTAGGATCGGCCGACTATATCTTATAGCTGCCATATAACTGATTCATTGGAAATGCTTTAACTCCGGTTTTTTTAGCGTTAGAGAGTTCGGATTTTGTACGAATTCTGTTTTTGGCAAAAGAATACGAGCTACCAAATTTCATAAGGATCGGCCGACTATATCCTATAGCTGCCATATAACCGATTGATTGGAAATGGCATAATTTTGGTGTTTTTCGAGGTAGAAAGTTGGGATTTTCTATGGATTCTATTTTTATTAATTATTTTTTCTATTAAAATAATACTACTTATTAAATTTCATATAAATTGGCCGACTATATCCTATAGCTGCTGTTTAACTGACGCAACTTTTGTTTTTTTGAAGATAGAAAGGTGCAACTTCGTACAGATCGATATTTACCTAACTTTCGTGTTTTTGAAGATAGAAAGTAGAAACAAAAGATTCTTTTTTTGGTTTCAATCGAGTTTTGGTAGATCAATCTATTTGACCTATCAAAATTTCTTAAGGATCGGTCGGCTATATCTGATAGCTGCCATATAACTGATTTATTGGAAATGTCATAACTTTCGTGTTTTTAAAGTTAGGGAGTTTGCCACACCTTTCGTTTATTAAAAAAATTTCATAGCGATCGGCCGACTATATCTTAAAACTTCTATATATCTGAACGATCCGAAACGCTATAACTTTGGAGTTTTCTTCACATTTTAAACGTAATTTAGAATTTTTATTGAGAACTGGTACATATAGTAACATTTTTACTTACTGTATTCAATCATCGAATATGTCTATCATAGCCATCATCAATAAATCTCCAAACTTTGAACCCCTCGAACTTTTACATAATGGTTATGCCAACTTTTGAGACAATAGACTTATTAAATATTACTTTTCATTTTGAATCTGTGGTAGATTTATTTCTTTTTTATATACTAATTAAAACAAAGGATTGATGCTGGTTTCCGTGATATTTATTATGAATCCTCACATACTCAGCCCCCTCACCACGACAAGGTCTCAATCCACGAGAGGGATATACTATAATAACTTAATCTATATTGCACTTTATAATTAAACAATTTTTAAAAATCTGTAAATAATATACAAATATATTACTAATACTAATTAATGAAATATGTACATATATACAATTCAAATAAATAAATAAGTTAATAAATTAATAAACAAATCTTAACAGCTATATTTAAGAAAAATTCCATCATGATGACTATAGCTCGTTTTGTATGTAAGAACCACAGCATTCCTTAGCTCATCATCAGCAAATATCCAATCGATTTGCGTCAAACTTTTGGTAGTAGCACAATTGTTGATTGGACTAAGATTAAATTCATTTAAAGCTTCCTCAAGTCGATCAGTGTTTGTAGATCTGCATATATTAAAATCTCCTAAAATAACCAATTTGCTATTATTTTCCAAGCTGCGTATCCTTTCAACATCCGCCATAATTTCATTTCGAAATTGTGTTATAGGAAAAGCAGGGTTCCTATAAACAACAATAAAGGATGTATCGAGATATTTGAAGGCAATTGATTGGTATGTAGTTCTTGAGCTTAAAGACTTATTTGTCTCAAAAAGAAAACTACATTTTCGGCAATATTTTGCTTGGCATAAATTATAATTCCATTTTTGCCAATACCATTCAATCGATTGCTATCAATTCTTCTTATAATGTCAAAACCTTGTAAAGAAAAGTCTTCGCTGGGAAGAGTCCAAGTTTCAACAAAACAAAGAAAACTCGCAGAACAAATAATAGGGTCATTGAAAATATCTTCGCGATGGCTTCGAAGAGACTCAACATTATGGTTATATAGAGAGATATCTTCATTACTGTTAACCAAAATTTCATAATGCGTAGTCAAGAACTTTTCCTCTCTTAACTTTTGAATTTCGTCTTGGACATTTTGGGCTCCAAATCTTGTTGGAGGAACAAAGTCGCCTAGAAGGAAAAGTCCTGATGCGCTAGTGGCCCTGCTGCATCCAACATATAGCGAAGCTCGCTTGATGCCTCTTTTAAGATGCACGGCGACTTTGCTATATGTTGCTCCTTGGCTTTTGTGGATGGTAATAGCCTCAGCGGGAACAATTGGAAATTGTTTTCGGTCAACAGAAGCATGCTCGGATCTTCCACATTGAAAAACTCGAGAGGCTTTTACTATTGGAGTCCATTCGGGATCGGGGTTGTTTCGAACTTTTGATCTGGCGATAGCACCAACCGTGGGTTCAAAAAATTTAATCCAAAGTCGCGTTACTAAATTTGAGCCATTCACTAAGCAATGATCAATTTGCATCAGCTGACCAGTTGCTCCATTTACAAGTCCGTCACTTGTGTCTATATTGACGGTAACCATATATTTAGCAGTTGTTTTGAGATGAAGATTATATGGTAAACCCTGTGTTTCAGAGGTTTTCATATTTTGAGCATATCTTAACGTGTTTTCTCTGTTTCGTGCAGATATGTTCGCAGTTTTCACTGTATCAACAGCAGTGGAAACCAACTCTTCCGTCCCAATTTGCGCTAGTTTAATGGAATTGTAATTGTTAACTTCTTCGTTTGAAGAAAATAAATGAATGGCATCATCAGGAACTTCGCTGGGTGAAACAACTCTTTGTTTTAGGAGCTCTATATCTGCAATTGTCATGCAAGCCTCAGATAAATGATTCAAGGCTTGAGCAAATGCATGATCGCCTCTTTGGCGCATTATTTCTGTGAGCTCAAAATACTTAAAGTTGCTCCATAGGCTATTTCCTGCTAAAACGCTATAAGGATTAATTGTCCTCTCCGAAAATATCCAACTGTCTCCAACTGGGGAAAGCTGCTTTAGATCTCCAAAAACTATAATTGATTTTCCACCAAAACATATGTCAGGACTTCGGAAAATTTGACGAAGCCTTTGATCCAAAAATGAAAGCATTTTAGAACCAACCATTGAAATTTCATCAATTATAATTAATTGGAGATCAATCAACTTGCAATGAATTGTATTTAAACTGTCATTGCTTAAAGGTCTTAAGGGACCTGAAGCCTGATTAATTGGAAGAGAAAACACTGAATGAAGTGTCAGCCCTCCAATTCCAAAAGCAGCTTTTCCAGTTGGAGCACATAATAAAACCTTTGCCGAATCCGTAGCACCAGGAAGCTTATTTGCTCGCCAAGTCACAGACTGATAGATGGTAGAAATCAGTCTGCTTTTTCCCACACCCGCCCCTCCACCAACATATTCGTAAAAATATTTTTACAAACAACATTATGCATCACATGTGCATAATATTGTCTTTGCTTATGGTTGAGGGACCGAGTTAGCGAGCAAAGGTCATCATTGGAAACTAACGGGGGAGTCTAATTAATTGAAGTTCGCCGTCTTCTTCAGGGTTGTTTACCGCATTGTCATCCTGAAGAATATTTACGTTCCGCTCTATATTTGGTACTGCCAAAGCTCTAAACTCTTCGTCTAAAAATTGGGAGGCAGGTTCTTCCGCAACAGGAGCATTATCTCCCCTATCCTCTTGCAAATCTTCTAGAACTCTTTCTAACTCCATATCATCAAACACATCATAGTTCCTTTTTTTTGCCCTAATGGCTTCATGGTTTACTCGGAATGTGTCTTCAATATCGTTGGAAAGAAGTTCAGCTTCTTCATTTCGCCAAGGATAGAAAAGCATTAAATGCTCTCGGAAATAATCGGAAGGTGAAGAGTTAATGCTAAAGCGAACCCACCTTAGAATCAGGGGATGCCTGCGTTTCTTAACGCAACCAGACCCATCCATCAGTGGATAGCTTTGCTCCGCAACTTCATCTTCGTCATCTACCTCCACATCATTTTCTTCATCATAGTCTTCCCTATGATTAGCGGCAGATCGTGCATTTCGCTTGACAAATCTGTACCAAGCCGCGAAATCTGCTAAACAAATTCCTTCCAACTGCGCATGCCTTTGCACATATCGGTCAAGAATATTACGCTCAAAAATATCCACCGAGTTGTTTGGTAGTCGCTCTAATTCTTCATTTGAGCGAGTCAATCTAACTCGTTTGTCTGGATGGCAAGTGTTTATAAAAATAGTACCTTCACTTGCCTCCGACATATGCAGACCCAAAATATTGTAAGCTGCTTCTTGGGCCGATATTTCTGTAGCGTTAATAAACTTATTCCCTAGGTGCTGTAATTTCCTTTCTGCCATGGCTTCACGGAGCAACTGCGATACGCCTCTGTTCGATTTGTTTATGTAGTTAATAATATAACTACAACAGGCGTAAGCATCTAGGATAAATTGAATATCCACATTAGCTCTGTGTAAGCCTAGAATATCTCTATTATAAGCATTGAGCAATCGGTCGGAGAATCGTCTGCGAAGAAAAATTTGTGGCTTTTTCAAGCTGGAACGTAAGGCTAATTTGTAGGCTTCAAAATTAGTTTCAAGGTGGGTCAGAAAATAATCAAAATTATTATATAAAGCTGCGTCATCATTAGAAATGGTCCTTAAAGCTTCCTTAATTTTTTTGAACAAAGTTTTATGTTCTTCAACATTTACTTCGTTTTCTTCCATTGGATGCAAAAGAAGCGTTTCGGGCATAGGAGGATATGGCATATTGAATCGGCAGAACTCCTGTCCGCGTAACTCTCTCAGGCAGGAAGCACTATGCTTGTGGCGTTGATACTGAATTACTTCTTGTAGCTCAGGATCGTCTCCATTTGTAGTAATAAACCTATCGATAAAGTTTATTACTTGCTCGGTATTTTCGGCGTCTTCGAGCTTAGGAGCACCAGCAAGCCAGTACATGCCATGAGAGTGCGGAGATCCTCTGTGCTGGAATTCGATTCTCCAATAAAAATGGGAAAGATTGAATTCCCCAAAAATATCGGTTTTGAACAATTTCATTAATTGTCGCAACCTGTAATCGAAGTATCGAGAGCACGTCACTGGATCGGATCGGATTAACCGAGCCTTTTCGGAGCTGGAAAGAGCTGCCGCTTCTTCCTCGCTTATAGCCCTATTATCCAATAGAAGGGAAAGGATAACTAAAAGTTCATTCCACTTAGTTTCAGCAGCGGAAAGAGTAATGAAAAAGGTTGGCAACCCAAATTGTCGAATCATAGCAATAACTTTTTTTTTCAGCCTCCCAATGAGCTGGTGCAGACCGTAAGCCTTTAAGGATGTGGTAGCCATCATCATGTTGAACAAGTCTGTCAACAAATGACTCATCCCGCAGATTACCAGCGGTAACTGCACCTGACTTTTGCGTAAAGCAATTGAAATGGAATTTTGAATGCGCTGCATTTCGTAAAATTTATACATGTATAAAACTTTAGGAACTACAGCGCAGCGACGGTCGTAAAATCGGATTTGAGATCTGGCTTTTTTTGCATAGGTTGTCTTTCCTTTAAATATTTCTCCGCAAGAAATAGTTGGAAAGGAAAGTTCCTCTGCGTCTTCGTCAAGCGTTAAGCTTGTTGGGCGACGGCCTTCACCCGGTGCCAATGCAATGCGCTGAATTGCAGTATCATTATTTTCCAATAATGTTTCATGGCCTCCGGGATTTAAATTTTCTTCGAGCTCTTCAGCATTTTGGGATAGGTGTTGCTGCTGAAGAAGTTGCTCTACTGCTTCGCGATCAGATTCATCCGCAATAAAAGGAATTTCATTAATTCCTTGAAGTCCTGCTAGCCATGATTCGTTCAGTGAAATGTTGTGCTTTCTGTAGAGCTCGGTATTCACTAAGTACCGTACAGCTTCAAGGACCCGCGCGGGTCGAATAGTTTCAGTCATGAAATTGTGAGCGTACTCTAGTCTCCTTTTTAAATGGACTTGGATGACATGAGTAGAGTCGAAAGAGCGCGGAAGCGCAGTCACAATATCAGGAACTGAAATTGGAACGTTCACTACTGCTCCTCTGATTCCGCATTGCCTTTCATAGCCGAGGGAAATAATCCTCATAAAAGGAATTCTCGGTGAGATGAGGCGTTCTTCGAGGCAGGTGAGTCCATTCAAGCACTCAGGAATTTCTGGGAAGTCAAACCCATTGGAAAGGCAGAGTGACGGGAGTTTGCCAAGAGAGATGGCACGACGACAAGTATGGCAAAAGTTATATTTACCGGACGGACTAGGAAATTTTCGTGACAAATAAAAAGCGTTGCCAACGTTTAGGAGGGGAAATTTAGAGGAGATAGCCAGGATGTATAATCCACTTACATGCGAACGGAACCATGTTCCTCCACAGCAAATACAAATTTCCGTTGGTCCTTCCTTTATGTTCCTGTGATAAAGATCCCTTGCTGTTGCTCGAATCCTATTTCGCTGTTGTTCTCGTTCCTGATCCAGTTCGTCCTCCGAAAGTTGAGCTCTTGCGTCCATATTGCGTTGAGACTGCCTTTGGGAGGCATCCAGTCGATTTTGGGGGTCCATCCTGAAGTTTATTAATCTTTCCTCTGCCATTAGTCGAATTTGTTGTTCCCGAATCCTCCGCTGTAGTCGTGTTTCCCGGCGTTGCGATGTGTTTATCCGTTGCTCCTGTGTTCTTGCGATGGGATTTCTCCTGGTTGCTCTCCTGTAATCGGCGTCCCTTTCCCGTTCTCGCTGCCTGTCTTCCGTATCCCTTCGTCGCTGTCGGTGTTCTCCAGTGTTCCTTTCCTGTTCCCTTGTACGTTCCTCTGGGTCCTCGCGATGAGCAGCTCGCGCTGCGGCGTCCCGAATCTGCTCTTGAATTCGAAATTCGGGATTGGTCCTCCGAGAGGCATGGGCAGCAGTATTTTGCACCTGCTCTTGTCGCCGCTCCTCGGAGTCCTCTCGACGAATAGCACGCGCTGTGGCGTCCCGAACTCGTTCCGGATTTCGGTACTCCGGAATAGTCCTCCGCGTCGCATGGTCAGCAGTATTTTGCACCTGCTCTCGTCGCCGCTCCTCCAGGTCCACTCGGCGGGCCGCGTGTGCCTCCATGTCCCTAATACGTTCGGGAATTCGGTGCTCTGGATTATCCCTCCGAGTAGAATGGTCAGCAGTGTTTCGTAACTGCTCTCGTCGCCGCTCCTCGGGGTCTTCTCGACGGGTCGCCCGTGCTTCCATGTCCCGAATCCTCTCTGAAACACGATAGTCTGGGTTCTGTCGACGATCAAAATGCGATTCTGCGTCCCGAACCCTCTCTGGAACACGGAATTGAAGATCCAGTCGCCTATCAGCATGTGCTGCAGTATCCCGAAGGCGCTCTAGATTGCGAATCCTTTCGCTGCGTCTCCTCTGAGCCCGTGCTGCGGAATTCTGCGCACGACTTTCCTCCTGTAAGTCTGGGTTGCTTGCTCGTACATTGGCGATGTGTTGCGAGTTCCTGCTTCTTATTTCCACCGCATTTTGTTGGTAGCGGGCTCTGCTGCGGTTTAAAGCAGCTTGGCGGCGTTGCTCCTGGGATGTGCGGGAAACACGTGGCATTTTTTGCGTGCCATTGGAAAAATTCAAATTAAGTTATTTTCACAATTATGGAATTCACAATTATGGTAAAAATGGAAATAGGAAATTTACGAAGGATTAAATTCCTCCTTCATAAATCTCATACTAAGGGATGCTTTTAGGGGAATAGACTTACCAAAATATATGTTTTAACAATTATTTCATATATTTTTTAAACACACACTTTTTGTCACTGGTAAAAATATAACTTGCACTCCTTAATATTAACACTGGCAAAAATACTTTTCACGCACTTTAAATTAACTGGCAGAGTAACGTCGTCACTCGATAAAATTTTTTTAGACTGATCTACGGATTAGTGGTTTTTTCAATATATAGGCAAGTTAGGTAATATTACAAAAAAAAACGTATAATCCCTTAACCCTTTAAGGTTATACAGTTTTACCCTTTTCGTCATGGCAATAAAATGTAAATTGCATTGATATCTGTACTACCTGTTACGCAATAGAAAACCCTTGCACGTGTTCATTCAACGAAGGAGGATTTCCATTAAACCAATTGGCGGCATTACCTGGATTAGGTCATCATGGGATAGTCCCATGGTTTTCTCGTAATAAAAATTCGGGTGTTATTTAAAAAGTAAAGGGTTGTAAACTTAACAATGAAAATAAACACAATTTTATGATCATTAATAACCTACTACCCGGAATCCCAGTATAACAAATGAATATGTTAAATCATTCCATAGTATTGTTAAAAATGATAAAAAGGCTAACTATACCAAATTTAAAGTATACTAGGTATACTAAATAGTTTCAGTGTTTAATTTTTTCCACAATTTACTGCAAGGGTATATCAACTTCGGCTCCGCCCGAAGTTAGCTTTCCTTTCTTGTTTATTGTAATTAATTGGTTTTATTATGATGTAATCATAAGGATCGGCCAACTATATCCGATGTTTGCGATATATATCCGGTTTTAGCTGCAAGGGTATATCAACTTCGGCTACGCCCGAAGTTAGCTTTGCTTTCTTGTTTTTATTATTTCAGCATACATTTTTAATTTATTTAGGAATAAGATTAAGTGTTAGTAGTAAAATGTTTTCTGTATATATATTTTTACGAATCATTAAAATCAATAAACTGAGAAGGTCAGAGTATATTTCAGTCGGAGTCACTTAAAACGCCGATTGCTTTTAAGTTTTTGTTGTTTTGCGTCCATTTTCGTTGTATGAAATGGGTTGTCTATATGCTGTATGGTTAGTGCTATTATGAACCTTGAATGCCTACCCTAGCTTTTTTTACAGAAGATGCGCCATTACGCACGGTATTTCGTTTCGACAGATTTTGACAAATCAAGTTCCGAAATTTTCGGACCCTGATTCGCCAATAGTGGCCATTATAATTTTCCCGAGTTTTGACGCTGTCGGACGGCAGCCGACATTATGAATGTTTACCCTTTTTTACAGAGGATGCGCTATTATGCACGGTATACCACGAGAAAGCTAATTTTTAACCCAGCTCGAATGGTACCAGTCGCATTAAAATCAAGTCCCGAAATTTTCGGACCCTGATTCGCCAATACTGGCCATTATAATTTTCCCGAGTTTTGACGCTGCCCAATACGGCAGCCGCCATTATAAACGTTTACCCATTTTTAAAAAGGATGCGCCATTATGCACGGTATACCACGAGAAAGCTATTTTTTAACCCATTCGAATGGTACCAGTCCCATTAAAATCAAGTCCCGAAATTTTCGGACCCTGATTCGCCAATACTGGCATTTATCATTTTCCCGAGTTCCGACGCTGCCCAACACCTTTTTTTACAGGGGATGCGCTATTATGCACGGTATACCACGAGATCGCTAATTTTTAACCCATATGAATGGTACCAGTCCCATTTAAATGAAGTCCCGAAATATTCGGACCCTGATTCGCCAACACTGGCTGTTAAGAGGCGCCCTAAATAAATAGGTCTTACTCCAATGAGCTCCTTATGGAAACTGATTTTATTTGGTAAAGTTCTCTTATAAGTACGATACATACGAGAATCTTAAACCTATGTATTTAAAACTACTTATCAACGCACTGCACGTTGACATGGTATGCGACTCTTTCTCAAGTGCGGATGCGCTTATGTTTGTGTTTGTGTTAGGCTTTGAATCATCAGTTTGACTCATATTTTATGGATCCGATCCCTTGAAACTCAAACTTAAGAGTTTATATACAAAATAGTGCTCAATGTCACTAAAAGCGACAGACAAGCTTTTTATAACAGTCGTGATGTGCTAAACCAAAACTAGTGCATTGTTCAAAAAAAATAAGTAAGAGCCACGCAATATGCTCATTGAGCAACGATCAAAAGAACGAGCGTAGAAGTTCAGTAAACCAAAGAAACGGTTTCTACTCTTACTTTTCAACCCGCGATACCGAAGTGGAAAAATCGACGATTATAAGCAACCCGGCTTTACTGACCGTTGAAACCCAAAGGGCACGGTCTTGCTCACCCGCTCTGCTCACTCCGACTCCCGCGTCATGGAGTTCGCAGTGTAAAACCCCCCCCTCCAATATCGGAAACAAATTCCGCACCAACAACTAGCAGCGCTACAACTTCTGCAACAACAGCGAAAACCTCTGCAACTCAAAGTACCGCGACGTCAACGACTACAGCGAGTACAAAAACAACAACCTCGGAAAGTGCCAAAGTGGTAACGGCCACACAGACTGGAATGGATCGCTACATCCAAATTAAGCGCAAGCTTAGCCCGCAGAGTAATCTGGCAGGCAATAAAACAAAAATTAACCGTGTCCTGAATATCGATAAAGAACCAGACAGATCCACTACTAACAGATTTGCCCTACTGGCGGAGGTTGAGGAAAACCAACCAGCCCAAGACACCGCAAAAAAACCCAAGCCCCCTCCAATCTATATTAGGGAAAACAGCTCGAGTGCCCTGGTCAACAAAATTGCGTCGTTTATCGGGAACGGTGACAACTTTCCGCTTATCAAAGGGAACATCCATGAAACAAAGGTGCAAACCAAGTCTGAAGAGCACTTCCGAATCGTGTCCAAATATCTGGACACTGTACAGAAAAACTATTACACGTACCAGCTGAAAAGCAGTAAGGGCCTACAAGTGGTATTAAAGGGAATAGAACCTGATGTTGCCGCCGCGGAAATAAAAACCGCCCTTAAAGAAAAGGGCTTCGCCGCCAAGAATGTTATTAACATTCTAAATAAAGATAAAAAGCCACAACCCCTCTTCAAGGTCGAGCTCGAGCCAGAAAGCAGGTCGCTGAAGAAGAACGAAGTCCACCCAATCTACAACCTGCAATATCTTTTGCATCGGAAATCACTGTTGAAGAGCCACATAAACGCAACGGTCCAGTGCAATGCACTAACTGTCAAGAGTATGGACACACAAGGTCTTACTGCACACTTCGGGCTGTCTGTGTAGTCTGCGGGGACGCCCACAAGTCCGCTTGCTGCACTACAAACAAGGACAGAACCGTGAAGAAATGTGGAAACTGCGGAGGCAGCCATACAGCAAACTATAGAGGATGTATGGTGTATAAGGAGTTAAAGAGTCGCATGCGTCAAGCGACCGCAACGTGCAACCAAAGTCCACAGAATGCGTACATTGCGGCAAAAACTACGCCAGTCGTCTTCTTCGCCAAAGCTGCGAGATCCTCATTCGGTCCACTAAACACCACCAACGGCTTCTCCTACGCCGATGCTCTACGATCTGGAAGGGAAATTCCAATTCAGCCTAACTCTCAAAGCGCTCAACAGGCCCAGAACAGCCACACAGCAAAACGGAAACTATGATGCTTACCCTCCAACAAAGTATGATGGAGCTTATGTCATTCATGAAAACGACCATGCAAACGCTTGTTCAAAACCAGAACATGGTGATACAGCTGCTCGTAGCAAAACAGTCTAAATAATCTATGCAGGCGCTACGAATATCAATGTGGAACGCCAATGGTGTCTCACGGCATAAACTAGAATTATCACAATTCTTGACCGAAAACCATATTGACGTTATGCTACTGGTGGAAACGCATCTTACAAGCAAATACAACTTTCATATAAGAGGCTACACAATCTACCGCACAGATCATCCAAATGGGAAAGCCCACGGCGGAACTGGAGTTCTAATCAGAGAACGCATTAAACACCATTTTCACAAAAGGTTTGCAACAAACTTCTTGCAGGCCACATCGATACAAATTCAGTCAAGCAACGGAATCGTTTCAATCGCTGCCGTTTACTGCCCTCCTCGTTTCGCAATCTCGGAAGGACAATTTATGGACTTCTATAATTCACTTGGGGATCGATTTATAGCCGCAGGAGACTACAACGCCAAACATACGCACTGGGGATCACGTCTAGTGACTCCCACAGGAAGAAAATTGTACAATGCAGACAATTGTACAATGTACTGGACTACGTTTCCCCTGGAAGTCCCACATACTGGCCAACAGACTCACGAAAGCCCCTAGACCTTACTGATTTTGCAGTGACAAAAAACATACCTCGCAATCTAATAAGTGCCAAAGCAGTCTCGGACTTATCATCAGACCACTCGCCTGTGCTTCTAACGCTTCTTCAAAACCCAAAAATAACCGAACACCCCTTCAGCCTGACAACGCCAAAAACGAACTGGCTAAAATTTAAAAAGTACGTGAGTGCCCACATAGAACTCGCCCCGGAATTTAACATGGAATCGGACATCGACTACACTACGAGCGCCCTGGAAGAAGTACTCGTTGCGGCAGCTAAAATCTCTACTCCTCATAGGAAAGATGTAGACCGAAACAAACACTTCAAATCTAATCAGCAAATCGAACAGCTCGTGCGAGAAAAGAGGCGCACGCGTCGTGATTGGCAAAACAGCAGATCACCAGCTTCAAAACAACGCCTTAAGAAAGCAACCCGATCACTCGAACAGGCTCTTCACCAACAGGAAGAAAATGCACAGCTGAGGTACATCCAGAAACTCTCGCCAACAAGCACA